ACATGGGAAGATACGATCCCACCTCGATCATGCACTACAATTTCCCCGGAATCGTCTACCCACGTACGTACTTCAGTGTCAGCGACGTTCTGCGTATAAACACCTTGTACCGCTGCCCAAAGGTATGCTTTTCCTTTAATTTCCGCTCCCCTCATTTTTTCTGAGGCATTCCATTCTCCACAAAAGATTCAGTGGAAATCGCTGATCCCCATTGTCTCTGGAGAGAATGAAATGTCCGCTTTCCCCGCCTCAAAGTTCGCTCCTCTCAATAAGCTGTTTAGCAGGCGTCTACCCTTCCCGGCGGAAACGACGTCTACAACAAGGACCACAAGCCGACCGACGTGGTCCACTCGAAGCTTCACGAACTGGACACCTCGATCCACGACAAGATACGTACCTAAGTGGTCAACAGCAAGAGCCTTTGGCACCACTACCACCACTGTTGATAGACCCATCACAACGTGGACAACCCCGAGCACTCAGTCCACCACCACGACGAAAGCTCCCGTCTGGACGACGAAGAGCTGGACAGCGCAAAGATGGGCAACACCCGGTACAACTCTCGCTCCTGCCTGGACAACAACCCGACGATTCTATCCATGGCCCACTACGACCACCACTTGGGCACCCTCGTGGCCCAGTAGAGCCACGGTCGGAACCGTCTCTGCAGCCCGATCCTTCCAGTGGCCCAATCCAACGACTACAACTTGGGCACCTTCTTGGCCCGCTCGAAGCACAAATAAACCCCAATGGGCCACCACGGACAGGGCAGCTAACCCATGGATCTCTCAGCAATCGCAACAGCCCCCTACCAATACTGCTCGATTCACTGGTCAAATGCCAGAGGAAGATGATGAGCAATTATCGCAGAATGGAATTCTACGTAAATTTAGGTTATAATAGGTTTGTTTTGTTTGTTGTTTTGAGCAATGATTGATCAATAGACCTCAATGCTATGGAGAAAGTCAACAGAGAATGCGCTTTGCTCAGCTGATCTGTGATTGTCCGGTTGTACAGATTTTACGATTTATGATCTCATTTTATGCAACTCACCACTGCACCTCTATTTTCGCATTATTTATTGTAATGAAGTTTTTTCTTACTGTGGTTTTTTTCACGACTTTTTCAATAAGTTCCTGAATCAGGGTAGATTACTGGCAATAAGCCAAGAATTCAGCTCCCATCAAAGGCGAAATTGGCGTGGAGTTTCTTATGATCCATGAAAATCCAAAATTTATAATCGATTGATCCTTGAGGTAGCCTAAACAAACCCGTCTCGGGAACCAGACCTGGGGCCCCTTTTGAGTTAGCCATCGGGAACCTTTTTTTGCCCTGAGATGTAAAAGAAGAATTCAGAGAGTGAAATGAATAGGGTAGTTACACTTAACTTTATTAGATTAATATAATATTAAATATTAAAATTATTGCATAATTATTGATTTTCAATATTATTACATATTATTAAATATTACCTAAAGAATACAACCCGATAGCAAGAGCGAGCCGCAGGCAGGATTTCAAGCTAGAGCGGTAGGGACGTGGGAAGTGGTGCCAATTACCAAATTCACGGTTCGAAGGTGGAACCCCAATTGACAAGTTCACGGTTCGAAGGTGGAACCCCCGATTGAATTCTACCCAGGGCAACCAAGTGTTCGGTCCTCCGGTCAGCCAATCGATACCGGCCCCTACCTTTGAGAGCATAAAAATACCGCTCGTAGATCGGTCGGCTCCCACCAGTCATTCATGGAGGACCAAATATCACCCATGTACCACCACGATTCTGTGTGAAATCGAATGCATGGCGCAATCAAAAAGGGATCGATCAATGCTGGTGCTTTTTATCCTTTGCTGTTCACTTTTTACGCATTGCACGAAGGTTATCCACACTCTCCGGCGGGGAAGATTGATTTTTCTCACTAAAGAAACCGATTCCAAAATGGGATCGAGAGGTCATTCACTTAGTGTAATGGCCGGCTCGTCTCCCGTATGAAAGGTGGACAATTGCATTGAATTAAGGAGGGATGAGCCGGAAACTATCGGGGGCAGAGCTTCCTTTGAGATCTCCCGCTTCAAACCGGCCTTCTTTGTAGCGTAGTGTATGCTCGCGGGAGCCTTCCAAGCTTTTCAAGATATGCAAATATCCATGACTTGGTTGCTGGGCTGGAGACGTTTCTGTCGCGGGAAGGAAACAGGCTCTTTGAAGACAGAAAAGGTGAATCAGGTGTTCAGCCAACCCATGGGTAGGCCGGATTTTGCAGCTGTTAAGCGAATCATGTAGTAATATTCGCATGGCTGAATAGTTACCGCTCGCAGAACTACTGATTATGGGTTGGCAGTTAGCCAACTGGAGTGGTGCAAGACCAGGTCAACCGAAGGAAATCGGCAATTGTTCTGCACTGTCCTTTACCGGTAGGCGCCGGTGCGTCGCAGTTCTCCTCCTCAGGTCAGGTCACATAAAACACCACTCGAAGGAAGCCTAGGACTAAGCAGGCCCCAGTCATGGCTTAAGCTTTAGGGGGCATAAGCCTAAGCTTGAATCCAAGCACAACTTTAAGCTTTAATGAACGCGCAGCTCAGGTGAGGCGACCTAGGAGGAGAACTGAACGTCTTCCGTAGGCCCCGCTATGAACAGGGGCGTGACGTCACCTTCACGGGTCGTTTTTGAAAGATCGCTGCTATCGTTCACTACCGATGACGTACGATTTCCGCCCATATTTGCCCAATTCTCGTTCGTCGGGATATCTTCTCATCTCTATCTCTGTCGTGGACTCGACGGGTAAAATATACTTACCTACTTGGAAATGAGAGGTATAAAAAATGCAGACAGATGCTTCGTGCGTACAACCCTTGGAAATCGGCCACAAACCTCCACCAGCGAAATTGCTTGGGCCTAGGTTGCGGACCTATGCGCGATGAAGATTGCCTATCAGACATTACTGGAAAGCTTTCCTCACTAAACTTCTACCCTCCAGCCCTTTCTGCCCTTCCAGGATCCTCCACACCGTAGATTAATGCACTTGATTTATTAACTGGTTTTTCTATTCTTCTTCATACAGTTCTATAAAAAGGTTTTAACTCGTCATTTTAGCAAAACAGGGTTTTTTGATCATTGGTGTCCGTGGAAAATATATGGGTCTACCAACTATCTGTGATGGACGACAGGTGTCAGCCACAATAGAATTAATCACTTTAAAGCAGTCATCTTCGATCTTAGAATAATCACCAATGCAAGCACATCAAAGTATTTACGAACGATATCCTTAGCAGCATAAGGTCGGTAGATAAAATTGAAAAATGGAAAAAATGAAAAAAAGACGAAAAAACAGCGTTTTGGTAGTGGGCAAAGGTGGAATAGTGGCATGCAGCGCCGTATTGATCAAGCAGGGTACAGTGGTCAAATGGTGGATCGGATCTCGCTCAAGTCATTCAAACCAAGCAGCAAGCAGATGCTTAGGCTAAATCGCATTTTTGGAACGGCCACTACGACTCGGAACATGAGGTGGATGGGGCGCTCCTGAAAAGGACATTAGAGGATAACACAGGTACATCCTTACACAGACTTTTTCTTAAAGGACGAATTCACGATGAAAAAGCAACCCATTTCAAATTAACCTAGGGATGGTGAGTGGTACACGAAAGAAGGAAGAACCATGAGAAACGGCCCAGAACCCGAGAAATGGGACCCCTTCCTTGCCCGTTGATTCGAGCATTGATGCGACTCTCATCGCTGTGCCCTCTTCAACACTACGCTCTCTCAGCTATCTAATCACTCGCCACGTATTGAACTACGGCGAGTGATCAGATGATCGGTGGGCGGAGATCGCCGGACCCGCCAGCTTTGAGGCATGATAGGTCGCCGAGGTCAAATTTTTCCATGCGAATTGCGCGTCAGTTCGCACCCTCAGGAGGTCCGTGGGTCCCTCAACTAGGTCAGTTTCCCTTTCTTCGACCTTCATTCTAATCGTGAATTCCTCCTTTAAGTCTGACCATGTATTGTTAGAGAGGAATACCACTTGAATGCCCTCTCTGAAGACCTTGAACGCCCTGTTAAGCGCCGAGTTTCCTTCCGTTCAGTTTACCTCTAAAAGAGATTTCCTTCGAACGGAAAATTTTAGCACTTCCCGGTTTGGATCGGAACCAAAAAGAACTAAATAAGTAATAAAGCGCAAAAAATGGGTAAATATATAGATTTGATAAATTGAAGCAAAAGTTTATTTATGAATCTAGCCCAACATCGGGTGCTATCGCAATATAGAGGGGCATGATCCATTACTAATTCTAGGAGGGGGCAGGAACCCCAGTTTTCAACACAAAAAAGACATGTTACGCTATTTCAAATGCATTGCCACCACAATACCCCCATATCTTGCGATAGCGCCAAAAATCGACTTCATAGTGGTGTTATTTTTGTTTTTCACTAGCTTGCTTTTAGGGAGTGGACGCATACCAGGCATGTCCCAAGACCCGCCATGGCGGATGGGACTTTTTTCAAACACTATGTTCAAAGTCCTGAGAGGTTGACCTGACGCACACTCTGACCAAAGCTATCGTCAGTCGCGTCACACTACAAACTTTACTCATTTCAGACGGATTTGGTATTTTCATTTGCAAATCCAAGCGTCCGGCGGTCCGCCCAGACGGCATTGATGAACTGAGAGAAATGACAACTTGCGCAAAAGAAAGGCGCTAAGATTTATCAACACAGTTGCAGGTTGAGTGACCTTATCGGCTAGTTTTATGATGGTCGGCGCTCAACTGAATTTCCCCGGTATTGGTTAGCACCGGCGAAAGCGAACACCCCAGAACGAGCCCAGGACGCTATCGCAATATGCGGGGCATCCTTTAGAGCTAAGCCTTGGAGGGAGCAGAAGCCCCGGGAAAAATGAAAATGGCTCACGCAGTCTGAAATCTCGCCTCCCCTGTCTAAAGCAGAGCCCCATTTTTTACGAAAAGGAACTGTTTTACGCGGTTTCAAATGCAATGCCACCACAATGCCCCTTCATATTGCGATAGCGCTAAGCCCTGCACCAGACGGCTCGCCAAAGTCATTGCCTTGGTTGGGTGGCCCTACCCTTACAGGTTTGAAGAATCGTTCTGTCCAAGTGGCTTTTCCTTCGGATCCTGCAACCTCGAAGATCTAGTCAAACGTAGCCATGGGCATGGGAAAGAAAAAAAAGCATGGGAAAGAAAAAAGCATGGGAAAGAAAAAGCATGGGAAACAGAGATCTCGGGCAGAAAATTTGGACCACTAAAATAGCGCAAAGCAGTGTGCAACAGGCTCATAACCTTAACCTTCACAGACACTTCTTGAAATCTATTCAAAAACTTTATTGGCACACTCGACACTTTACAATAGTACGTAGACACAGATAAGAGCTAAATTTGGATCTCGAATAACGGTTAGCACCACTCACAACGGCACCACGACCATGTTAAGCACGGCTTTTCAGGATGGATGTCGACTTGGACCTTTCTTCGTCACCGCCGTATTTCTGAACAGTCAGCCATCAAAGAGGGTTACACCCAAGCGCTAAAAATAACCCTCGCTCACCCTGTTCACTTCTTCTAGCAGCTTTCGAAGAGCAGTAGCATCAGGCCGCTTCTCCGGATCATGATTCCATGCAAGCTCCATAACGGCCACCATCTCTTCGGGCATAGCTGGCGGTGGAGGCATACGATAGCCACCCATCACTTTTTGCTGAAGTTCGGAGAAATCAGGCCATCACCGCTGTTCGGCTTCAGCAACCCGGAACTTGGGGTCAGGTAACGGACCTTTCACAGGTATCGGTGATAAACAACACTTGTTGTCATTTCCGACAGCTGTCAAGCAGAATTAGTGTCTAATTGCAAAAGTTGTGGCTAGCGCATGGCATGACTATTACAATTACTTCCGAAACATAATGATCTCACCTATGCTGTAATTGCTGGCACGCGCATGCGGGGACCTGGCAAAATGCCAAGGTTGTGATGTGCAGCTCACCTCGGAGCTTAGGCAGCGTTTAGAGTTAGCGGCAGCACATGAAATCAGGCGATTAGGCGATCGCTGAATGGGAGGGGCGAACAAATCGATACCTAATCTTTTCTTATCGCCTAATTGCCTAATCGCCTAGGCAGCGTTCAGAGTTGGCGATCGTACATGCGATTAGGCGAGTAGGCGATTAGTCTATAAGGAAAGGATACGTATCGATTAGGCGATTGGGCGATTAGGCGAGTAGGCGAGTAGGCGAGCGATTAGGCGATCGCTCAATAGGGCTGAGCAACAAATCAATACGCCCACTCGCCTATTCGCCTAATCGTTTAATCGCCTACTCGCCCAATTGCCTAATCAATAATCGCACTTTCTTTTCGAATTATCGATTAATCGCCTAATTGCCCAATCGCATGTGCGATGGCCGTCTCTGAACGCTGCCTTACTCGCTTGATCGCCTAATCGATGCGTGCTTTTCTTTCCGGGTAATCGCCTAGTCGCCTGATCGCATGTACGGTCGCCAACTCTGAACGCTGCCTCACCCGTCACCCTATGGTAGGTGATGTATGCTTACTTAGGGATACTTGACGTGAATAATCGATGCGACAGGAAGCTCACCTTTACTGTATAGGCTTTCCATTCGGCATACGGTGAATTATACGGTATTTCGAACATTTCCCACAGCAGCACCCCATACGCGTAGATGTCTGTATTGTAGCGCGTTTCACCATTTCGCCACACCTGAACACTTGATGTGATTAGTAAGATCGCCTTCAGCTGACCTCCTGTTGCAAATCACATGAATGTACTCTGACACGGACGGGCAGAAGATGACCTTTAATTTGGTGTGAAAGTCAAAGGAAAAAAATGGACGCCTACGCTGGCCCAATTAGCACTCAGAAACTCGTTTCTGGGTCGGAGCCCAAAGAA